TATTGAAAGGAACAGCTGCCTATATCTGGTAATCTGAGCAACTACTTGGAAGATAACAATATACAATGTAACAACCATTGTTAATTTCTTATCATCTTGTTTTGAAATTCTGTATCTTTTTTGTTTTTATTCTTTTTTTCTTTTATTCTCTTTAAAATAAAAACATTGTAACTGCATAATTGAGTAAGAGGCATTGATGATTAAGATGTTGGTATCAAATCATAAAAAAGATGTGAAACAACCAAGATAAAGCGTTGTGTTGCTTTTCTTGTGTCTTTCCAAGTTGTCTTAAAAATCATAAGAAAATTTAAACATGAATCTTTAAGGAATTATGGCTTGAAATTCTCCAGCAATGAAAAGCTTTCCTATTTGAGAGTCTTGATTGTATTAAATGGATGGGGTTTACACCCAGATCCAAATTACAGAAAATAATGTGTAAGGAAAATTCAAATATGAGGTTAATAAAAACTTTTTTGCTCCTTTACGTAACTCTATATCTCTCAAAACATTCAACGAGCCTGTTCAATACATCCCACATTTTAAAAATCATATATAACACATTTTGTGTTGTAACAATATTATGAGTTAGCTCCAAAGGAAATGCTTTCATTCAGCACTGTTAACAAAAAGAAAGTTCTGTTCCTGAAGGTTCTGTAGCACCCCAGGCGCTGGATTTGTAAGCCTAGTCCAGTCCAGCCCGTGGCGCCCAGGGGCCCTCAGTCCTCCCAGCCCCAGGCGCCCCTCGGCTTCTTTGCCTCCTCGCGGACTCCAGGCTGGGCCCCTCACCACCTTCCTTTCAGCGGCCCTCTGACTTTTGCTCCAGGGTCTCCTCCTTACCGTCCTTCCTGAGGCAGCAGCTCCTGCTGCACTTCTGACCAGTGCTCTCAGAATAGTATTTTAAGAACTGAGCTCCCAGCTTCTGGGACTCCTCCAGGTCCACAAGCAGGCCTGGGAAGCGGCGGATCCAGCAGTCTCGGTAGAAGACGGTGGGCGAGCAGAGCGCGGCCGCGGCGCAGCCCGCGCCCAGGAGCAGGAGCGCCGCTGCCGCAGCCCGCATGGCGCAGGTGGGGAGGGTGGGGCGGAGGCCAGCCCACCGCGAGGCTCGTGCGGGGCGTCTGGGATCCGAGGGCCGCCGGCGAGGGAAAATTTCTTTGGGACTTTGCTAGAGTCACTGGAAGAAAATCGAGGCTGGCCTTGGACTGCTTTCGGATTTCTCCTTTGTTCCTTTGCTCTTGAGTCAGGGTGAGCTCGGGACTCGCCTCTCTTCTTCCACGCCTGCCCGGTTATTTCAGTTCTGGCCCTGGACCTTGTAAAGAGTGGATACTCTCCTCTGCTTTTCTTCTTTCTCTGAAGGTGAAGAGTCGCAGACACCTTTCACTAAGGGAACATAAAGACAAGTGGAAATCCGAGTCAGGAGTCCTGAGTAGAACCGCAATTCATCCCCTGGACAGCAGATAACGAAGGATCCACGTCGCTGGGAACAAGACACTGTTTTGTGAGGTTTTCAAGGAACTTGGGACCGCAGGTTTTTGTTTTTCAATCAGTTCCTTAGTTCTTTGAACTTAAGTCTTAGTGTTCAGGTTCACTACAAAATTGGTGCGTGGACTGGTTTAAATCCTTTAAACTTATCTTTAAAAAAACTTGAAAGCAAATAAAAATCTGAAAAAAATTTTAATATTTAATTATGCAGTAACTGAAAACTATTAGATTCTGAACCTAATCACTTTCCAAGGTCTAATATTTTTTGTAAAATTCAATCATAAACTTTCTGTTTAAAAGAAGACTAAAGATTTGGGGGAAAATGTATTGCACTATAAATGAAATATAGTCCTCACTGAGAATGTGTATTCGCTAAGAGTAATTTACAATGAACACTGTATAGAGGTTTAAGAAAGGGATTGTCTGTTTTCTTATGTAAATTATCCAGAGGTCTTGTTTATGAAGTGCATACAGAAAGGCACAGTGTCTCTGAGTGAGATGAAGTTGTTATGGAAAGTGTTTTAGAGAATTGGTGAAATGGTTTTACATTTAACAGTAACTTCAGCTGGAATGCCAAAATATTTGAAGGGCAGTGAGTATAGCCTCTTGATGTTATGGCTATTGTGAATTCCTTATTCCATAATATCTAAGTGTCTTGATTTATTTATTTATTTATTTATTTACTTTTTTACATCAACTGCTTTTTATTATCGAGTTTTGGACACCTTTCACAAGATGGTTAAAAAAAAAAAAACAAAAACTTTACAACCATTGCTAATGTAATTTTCCCATTGTTCCCAGTCAGCTCCAAACCCACTGTATGCAAAGCCCATTTTTCCATGCATCT